TTGGATATTTTCTGTTCTTCAATAATTTTTCTAAAAATTGGGAAAAATCATGATTATTCTACCACTTGAATTTTGGAGTCCTGTTAATTTAATCCATTTCCCCCCCAATTTTTTGTTTCATAGCTTCTCTTTTGAACACATGGAGGACAATTTTCTTATGAATACTGAAGATACATTTATTAGTATTTCACTTTGATGTCTACACAGATGTGTTTATTTTTCAAGATACTTGACATTAAAAGTTCATATATAATATTTCTCAAGGGTATAATTGATATTTAACTCCTTCCTCTTTATGTGACTTGCCCAAATTAATTTTTTGTTGCCTCCTAATGAAAATAAAATTATTTGGTAACAAAGACTAATACATGGAGAAGGCAGAGATGTGGCTCAGTGACAGAACACTTGTATAGTAGCATTGGTCCTGGGTTTGATCTCCAACTGAGAAAAAAGAAGTCAGGTTTAGTGTATGGGGGAAAATTAGTTTTATTCTTTTTTTTTTTTTGAGACAGGGTCTCACTATGTAGTTGAGGCTGACCTGGAACTCACTATGTAGCCCAGGCTGGTCTCGAACTCACAGGGATCCTCCTGCCTCAGCCTCCTGAGTGCTGGGATTACAGGTGTTCAACACCATGCCCAGCTAATTAGTTTTATTCTTATCGCAACAATGTATCATAATTTTATTGAAGAGTATATTCTAAGCAGCAGAAAATTGAGAACTGTTTTTCCTAAAGTACATATTCAGAATACCCTCGAAGCTACAATGTTAAACATCTACAATATTGAGATGCTTATGTTCTCCCCAGGTTTTTATTTTATTGATCTAGTTCTTTGAAGAATTTGACATTTCAGTAGAATCCACATTCCCTAATACTGGGAAAAATTAGTTCATTCCTACTAGTATTGCAACAAACTTTGTGTTACATGTGCAATCACTTAAGGCTCCTCAGGAAAACTCACATTTATATCTACCAGATTCAGCCTGGAGATTAACCTATTTAAAAACTCACAGGATTGCAGAGATATGGGGAAAATTTAATCTTCCAGAAAGAGGCTCAGACTACCAAACGAACATCACCTGAGATATTAGGAAGTGATTGCAGTTCTCATGGCTCAAGCTTTCTGAAAAGAAAACACAACGTGATAATATTTAGTACCTGTCTACAGCAGAGCAGAGATATTTAGAAAAAATATTTTAAACACATTTTAAAATTAATATGAAAGGATGGTGTCAGAATATGGAGAACAAGTATTCTCCATTTCTGCTGTTGTCAGCTCTAAATGTGTCTTACTTGGTAACAATATGAATTTGTTAAACATACAAAGAAATCTAGAGGAATGATAGTGAAAAGCTGAAATATGAAGAATAAGAGCTATTATTTATACTAACTCTCTTTTGTAAGGTTTATAAAAACAAGATAGATAACTATCAGCCTGAGATAGCATGGGAAGCATAAAGGAAAATTAAGATTAGTCTTCAGTGACACAAAAAAATACTTTGGAATGATAAACGATGATTATTGTTTTATTCATGATAACAATGACAGCCAGGGATTACCTGTACAACCTAAGGAAGAAGATGCTGAGGGGGAGATTATGTGGATGGCTTCTTCTATTGATCATGTTGCATTTAAATTTAATGATAATACATAGACATTTGTTAAAGTAGTCTTTCTGCATTTTGTTTGTTTGCAATACCTCATAGTCATTTTTTAAAGAAAGACACATTTTGAATTCCTGGAAGATTGTGTCCTATTCTTACTTAGATGTAAACAATCTAGAGAAGATTTAGAAGCTAATCACTGAAGTAGTTGTGATCCTGGACACTTTGATGTATAAAGGAAAATTGAACAGACTGGAGAAGTTTAGCCAGATAGAAAAGACTTGGAAATAGAGGTGGGTAATCTGGCTTAGCAAGGTATGTGAGAGAAGACAAAATTATTCAAGTAACAAAACTATGCAAAAAGAAATAGATTTGTTTTATATGACCATAAGGAGTACACACACACACACACACACACACACACACACACACACACGATGTAGAATCAGTACAAGGAAGAGCTCTCCTTGAGAATGAATGGTGGATGTTTCCATGTTGGTTTGTGGAAGTTTATCTTGAAGGTCTATCTGGCATCACTGTCATAGAAATTGAACTTTAATTACTCTGGAGATTTCTAATGCAACTAGTTCTTTTTAAACAACAAACAATAAATTTTTCTTTAGGCCAGAACCTTCCTTGGTGGGGAGGCTGTTCAAAGAGGTAGCCAGGCTAGTCATTCCCATAGTACTAAGTGTCTGAGGTGACTGCCACCATCAAGATACATAGTGCCTGAGGACAAGTGTTAAAATCTAAGAGAAGGAAGGGGTTGTCAGGTGTCATGGAATCACACAGAAGCTAAAAGATAAAATGAGTTGTTGACAAGAATGAATAAAATTAGACTCAGTTTACATCAATGGGTCCTTGTTCATCTAATGCTTGTGTATAGAGCTAACTTGAGCCTATTTAAAGGACTCCTAATAAGATATAGTCACTGTTCTGGAGAGAGAAGCTGAATTTAATCTCTATCACTAAGGAGTGTAATGCCTTTGGCAGAATGGTCAATGTACTATCTATGGCATTCATTAACATTGACCTCCATTTGAATCCATGTTTTCCACTTACCAGCTGTGTGATATTACAAAATTATTTATATGAGCCTTAATTTCTTTACCTGCTAAATAGACATACTAATTTTACATGCCACATAGGTTAAATAAGAAAATGTATGTAGATGTCTATAAATGAGCTCGGTGCCAGGCACATAGCAAATGCTTAATAAATGAGCTCAAAACTGAGGTGGGACAAAAAGAAGAGATAATTACCTTTGCTTGTTTCTGTACTTTCAAGGCCAAATATATACTAAGTGTGCAACCAGTATTTGTAAAATAAATCAAGACTGAGTATTCAAATAAAGCACCATGAATTTGACCTGAGTAACTGAGCACCAAGAGGTATAATAGGAACAAAATGGTTAGTGTTATGTTGGTCCAGGAATGTCAGGTGTGTGGAGGAGGGCAATGCAAGCAAAAGAAATGTGTCCTCTTTGGAAAGAGTTCTTTACCTCTAGCATGGAGTTGTGGGCAGAGAAAAAAGCTAAGTTTGGAGATGAAGGGTGAGATGATGTTTTAGAGATGACTGAGTTTGTGAACAGGTCCAGTGGTCTCTTGCCATGACAGATATGACGGAGGTCTGTGGGAGTGTTTCATATAAAATGAGAGGTCACCAAATGTTCTGTCAGACTCATTACACATTTTATGTGGTTTGTATGCCTTCTGTGCAGCTGATTTGGATGTAGAGGCTCTTTAGCACTCCATGGCGTAATGACTATCCCTGGGTAGAACTGGACTTTGCTAGGCACTGCTGCCTAAACAATATAATCCTTACTTACTGCCCCGGTGTCAGGATTTCTGACAGTTGCATTTTTCTTCAGTTCCCTGACACTCTGGTTTTCAGATTAAAGCCCTGAAGTTCTGTTTGCCCAGCATGTAATGCAGGCATTAGTATTGAAAGGTCCATTTCAGCTGTCATAATATGAATTCACAGGTTTGCCTCATTTATTCATGGCTGTCTAGGAGCACCATGCAGAGTCACTTTGGAAGTCTCCTTTTATTTTATTTATTTATTTTTATTTTTATTTTTGGTACCAGGGATTGAACTCGGGTCCTTGAGCTTGCAAGGCAGGCCACTGAACTGCTGAGCTAAATCTCTGGCCCAGTTGTCTCCTTTTTAGTAAGGTGGATGTGATCCCTAATAGCATGTGTTCACACATAGAGTTATTGGAAAAGGCTGGGATTATTTTCTAGAAGAATTATGGAGAAAAGAGGCCACTAAAACTTGGATTTGTTTCTGAAAGTGTATGCTCTCCTCCAATAATGTTTGAGGTTTCAAAACATCAAGATTGGTGAAAAATAAATCAGGCTGGATATGGGTATGAAAGTTTTGGAGCAGGAAGGAATAAAGCACTATCTTATTTTTTCCATTTTCAGTGATGGTGAATGAACTCAAGAGTTTATGTGTGCTGTGAAATCACTCTGACATGGAGTTACATGCATTTCCAGCTCCTTTTAATTCTTGATCCAGGGTCTTTCTCACTACATTGTCCAGGCTGGCCATGAATTTTTCCATTCCCTTGCCTCAGTTTCCAGAGTTTGAATGAGAGTTTCCAATGACTGTGAGTTTATGTAAATGAAAAACCCACCTTCTGCCATAAAGCCTTCAAGCAATATCCAGGTAATATCATTGGGTCCCAAATTTGAGCACATACAAGAACTATCTGGAGGGCTTATTAATACAAAATACTGGGGCTTTGTGCCAGAATTTCTGGCTTGGTAAGTTTAAGATGGGGCCTGAGAATGTAAATTTCTATGAATCCCTAGATTATAATAATAATACTGATTTGAGAAATAAACTCTGAAAAATCACTGGGTCAGCAACATGAGAGATAAATGCCCTCCCACCACCAAAAAAGGGTGGGAGGGTGGGGGAGAAAAAGCAAAGCAAAAAAGAGAAATAATCTGTAACTAGAACATTTCTGGAATAATTTGGAGTCCTTGGTTTTGCAAGGTACCTTCATACTAAGATGTCACTCACTTTCTGTGACATCATTGGATTGTCTTATTTGGACAAAACATGTTGACCCAGCTGCACCATACCAAATCTTTTCATCCACATGCCTCAGATCTGGCCAGGAGATGGCACTATGGTAAACATCCTATGAGTCAAGAGTTCCATTTATGACATAATGGAAGATGACAGCAGTATTGGACCCTTGAAATTATATCATCAAATGCAAGAACTGGCTGAGATACATCTGTTAAGCCATCACTTCTAACTCTTCTTGTTTTGTCCAAAGTTGTACGTTCTTACTTTTTCAAGTCCAAAGGTTTGCAGAACCATCTAATAAAAAGGTTTAGCTATTTCAAATGCTAATCATGTTATGCTGTCATAATTCTAACAGAACTGCAACGTGCTGTGGGAGTTAATACAGGGCTTGCAGAACCTCCACAACTGATGCCTTCAAACTTGCAAAAAAGCTTGGTTTTGAGGAATGACAGTGACTATGTCTGCTTTTCTGGCAATCACATAGGAAATGAGGTGAGTTCAACTGCTCACTGGATCTCACTACCCAGAGACAGGTTGCTTGAATCTTTGTTGCAAACTTAGAAAGCTTTTAGTGAACAGGGATGGGGGGAGTGGCAACTTAAAGAAGCTCCAAGCAGCAGGGCTGACAGAATTTCATGGTAGAGGATATAGTATAGATGGGTCTTCAGTGACTTATTCAATAAATATTTGTGTGCTGGCCTCTTTTCTAGATGCTAAGAACAAACAAACCAAAGTCCTCAAGTGACTAAGAGTTTTAAGTGGATAAGGCTGAGGATAATGATTAAAGATAATGAATACAAGACTTGGTTAGTCTCTTGATATCGACAGGCTTTCCAGTGCACATCTGAACAAAGGATGCATGTGGTCAAGTATACATCTGAATTTCCTGAACAAGGACATGATCCATGAAAATGTAAATAAATATATTATTCTTTCCCCGAAGGTAGGAGACAATTTTAAATCCAGGGAAGCACAAAAATCTTCTTTTTCCAAGAGATTCAATGTGAACACAGGGAACAGAGTTGGTGTTTTAGACAGAGCCAGAGTGGAGAGGCATGGGGCCAGAGGACAGATACACTGACTGTGTCCAAGAAGTACAATGCATATGAGCACAAAGAATCAGACAGAGTGCCCCCATGGAAGATGTAAAGTGAGGGCTATAACAATAAAGATTTGTCCATGAGAACTAATATACTGGGATATACTCTGGGTGAATTTCAGGGACAAAAACAAACATCTAAGGCCAATTTTTTAAAATAAGCACTTACTGCATTCTTATGTGGGCAGAATGGAGCATCCTCTGACATGCAGACTAGGAATAAAACTAAGCTGAAGTTAAGATAACGGAAAAGAAGAGTGAATTTAATTGCTGCATTGAGAAATAGGTTGATTATACAATTATTGAACTTCAATATGTGCCTGGGCTATGTGAAGTGCATTAACTTATTTAATCCTTCCAATAATATGGACGTTTAAATTCCTATAACATCTGTGTGAATAAACTTAAGCATGAAAAGTGAGTTATATACAACAGAAGTTTATTTCTCATTTATGTATCAATACAAGACAGAGATTCTGATCAGCAGGCAGAACTTCCTGTCCTTTGGTTCCAGTATTTTCTAAGTCTTTATTCTTTGCATCTAGTCAATATATGAAGGCACAGCTATTTTTTTATAAAACTTGCCCAGAGATAAGACATGTGATTTGTTACAAACACACTTTTGGTAAGAACTAGTCATATAGCTGTCCTTCAACATGTGTGTGCATGCACGCATGTGTGTGTGTCTCTCTGTGTGTGTGTGTGTGTGTGTGTGTGTGTGTGTATGTAATGGTGTCTCTACCTGAGGTCATCTCCATACTCTGCAAAGAGGGGCATAGGCTTTTGTGTTCACCTAGCTTCTGTACAGTCTGCAAGTCTAACACTAAATATTTGTGCTTACCCTTCTTTGCACACATAACGAATAACATACTTCTCCCTAAGGGGATTAAACATAAGTACCAGCCACTTTATGCAACCACCTCAAATACCATGGTCTTTTGGTGGTATATTGTCCTTTTCATCCAGCCTAAAATTCCTCCTTTTGGTCTGGCAACCAACACATTGAAAATAATGAGACAGAATGGTAAACAGAGAGAGATAAGATACATACAATGAGAGCTCTCATTCGGATGAAGGAAAAATGGGAAGTTCATATCAGGACACTACTAGGTATGAAATCTTACTAGAGAGGTATAGGCAAGAACTTGTATCTTGGAAACCAGGGAAATTCCTTAATCAGACCCTAGTTATGCTCTCTCAGGAGGATTTTTCCTTGTTCACCTTTGCTGTCTCTTCCAGGGAGTCTTCTCTGTCTATTATCTGCCATGACCACTTCTGAAAGGGCCTGGCATTCTTTTTAAAGACCAGTCACAGAATTGAATCAGAGGTATAATTTCTCTACATTTCAGTCAGCTATTGCTAAGCTTTGACATAGGAATAAAAAAACCAAAATCCCAGTAACTCATAACAGTAAGGGTTTACTTCTTGCTCACATTAACTGTCATCTGTGTCTTAGCAGTGCTTTGTTCTATATGATTCTTTCATTCTGGAGTCCAGATCAAAGATCTGCTCCTGTATGGAACTAACAAATTCATACAATGGCTCCTAATGCATATGCAGGGCAAGATAGTATCATTACTTCTCACATTCCATTGGGAAAAGTCTGATATTGAAAGGACAGGGAAGTATATTCCTCCCTCAGGTGAGCATTGTAAGTCTTCAGGCAGGGGCAAAGGTGAATGATCTTTTTACTGGGAGGGGATTATAACACGGTTGCCCTTTGACAAAATGGGGACCTCAGAAACTTAATAGCTTTCACTCTGTTTGCATTCAGTTGGTTTCCTGTGAAAACACACTCAAGGTTTTCCCACATGTAGCTCTCAAGTCCGCTTGTTTTGTCTCCTTTCCTAAAGGTCTGTCTCCCTCAATTTAATGAAACTGTAAAGCCACAGGCTTAGGGGAAAGGACAAAACTCCCAATCTTATCTTTGCTGTAGGGCTGAGTCACCTTACTTGACTGAGGAGCCTTATTGGACCTTTGTCACTTGAGGCCTCCTTCAATATTACTCCTTGCTGTTTAAGGGCCAAATGGATTCTTTCACACTGGAAAGCCACTCATTCCCTTCTTCCCACATTCTTTCTTTTCTCTTTTACCTCTTACACTCTTATCAGTCTTTGCCTAAGCTCATCACTTGGTTGCAATATCTTACTAAATGCAGCAACCACACACATGAAGATTCTGTTTTTTTCAATCACCCCCCCAACCCCCTCGACAGCCCCATATCAAAAAGTACAGACTCAGGGCCGGGGATTTAGCTCAGTGGTTCTGCTACCTGCTTTGCAAGTGCAAGGTCCTGAGTTCAATCACCAGCACCAAAAAAAAAAAAAAATACAGATTCAGTTGATACATCACCTTCCTCTCAAGCTATTGCAGGTGATGGTTTTGTCCTTGTATGTTGCCATTATTTGAGCATTATATATGTTTCCTTGGTGCCCACCATCTTCCTCTAGGCCAATATTATATATATATATATATATTTTGGTGCCCACCATCTTCCTCTAGGCCAATATTATATATATATATATATATAGTATTTTTAAAGAGTTATATATCAACTCAAACTATATGGAAATTTCTCAGTTGAGTCACTGACCTATATAGGTATCCTGTTTGTCAGAGATTCTTTTCCATGCAGTGATATAGGACTTGAATTTAGATCCTTCATTACTATGGCTCCATCATTCACTAGGATAGAGGTTTGCAAACTACAACCTTTGGACCAAATCTTGCCTGTTGACTACTTTTATAAACAAATCTTATTAGAGCACAACCATGTCCATTCATTTATGTTTGTGCTTGGTCTCTCCTGTATTGCGGTTGTAGATATGAGTAGCTGCAATAGTGTTACTATGATCTGCAAGCCTACACTTTTTATTTGGCTTATTATAGAAAAAGTTTTGCTTACACCTACTCCAGGATCTAATTATCAACATATTAGTACAGCTGAGAGAAGGGGACATTTAGAATAGAAAAAATTACAGTTATTCTTAAAGCCCTGAACCAGAAGTGTTACCCTGACACATGCCTCCATTTAATTCTCACAGGACCTAACATTTAGGTGCAGACTGTGGCTGAAAACTGCAGTCTGTGGCCAGGTAGCCACAATGACACTTTTCCACTTTATGCCAAGAAGAGTAAGAATTTCAGTGGATGGGTGGTTGTCTCTGCCAAAATGTCCATCTTGTGGATTTTTTTAAGTGGACTTTAAAAAATTAGTAATTTGACTAATTTGGATGCTCTATAACAAACTGATTAATGGTTTGGTCTGGAATTAGAAAGACGTATGTTTTAAGAGTAAAGCTTCAGTAAGTTTTTAAAAATATACTCTGGCTTCCACAACACAGTAGAATCTTTCCCTAATCTGTAGCTTAGAAGTTACAAGACATTGGCCTTAACAGTCTTTAACTTTCTTTCCAACTCAGAGATTTTTTTGTTCCATTTATTTTACTTGAGCTCTACTGTGTATCTAAAATTTCAAAGCAGTAGAGAAGAGTGAAACAATTTCCCAGTTGTTGAGGATCTGACAGTTTAAAAAGAAAAACAGACATGCTGTTATTGCTTAACCTTAACACCTGGGGGTGGGGCTACATGGAAACAATGAACTAAAAATGTCTACAATGACATGAAACCCATGCTGATTCCACCCCATCTGACAGCGTTCAGCCTGAACTCCTAAACACCCAGCAGCAGTGGATGGAGAACCTTTTAGAGCTTTCAATGATACAAATAGCACCCTGCAGCACTTGGGCCATAGGGTCATCACCACTGAGATCCTTGATGAGCTTATTTGCTAAATCCTCCCATCAGTTGGGGCTTTTTGGGAATATCTTCATTGAGTCTTTGATTCCTTACTTCTTTTTTGTTTGTAGTCTTTGTCCTAGGAAACTTTCTCCTTTCTTAATTTGCCAGTAGCAAAAGCAATCCTGGGTAATTTAGCAAAGTAGGGTGCATCATAATGACAGAGTTCATATTATATTATAAAGCTACACTGATAAGAGCAGCATGATACTGGCATAAAACCAAATATGCTGACCAGCGGAACAGAGTAAAGGATGCAAAAACTGTAAACACATTTAGACACTGAATCATTGACTAAGGGGCTAAAAACATACACTGAAGGAGAGACAGTTTCTTTAACAAGTAGTGATGGGAAAATTGGCTATACACATACAGAAGACTGAATCTAGACCCGTATCTCTCACCATGTACTAAATTAAAATAAAAATGGATCAAAGATGTAAATATTAAAGAAAAACACAACCTGGGGAAAACAAGATAGGCAAAATCACTTTAACTCCTAGGTGCAGGAAGGACATTCTTAACAGAACCCTAATTGGAAAAGAATAACATCAAGATGGAGGAGGTGAAGGGAGGGCAGGGGAATGGGGAAAAAAATAAGAACCAAGACAGATTATGTAAAGGTGCAAATTTCCAATGATAAACATCATTATATATTGTGTACCTAAAATGTACCAATAAAATTAATTCTAAAAAAAGGATAACATGAAAAATTAACAAATGGGATTACAATTGCACCTCGGTTCATGAACTTAATTTGTTCCATGTTTCTGGAAAAGATGGCCATGTTTGTTTTCCTGTGGAAAAGATGGGCACAATCATGTCTGTCACCAAATGCAGAGTTTGCAAACAAAAAATTTTTTTCCAAACACTTCTGTTTGCAAACCAAATTGTTTGCAAATAAAAGCATTCCTGAACCTAGGTACCACTGTACATCTGATTAAAAAGTTTCTATACAGTAAGGGAAATAATCAGCAGAGTAAAGAGACAACCTACAGGATGAGAAAAAAAATTTTCTAGCTATATTTTGGACAGAGGATTAATATGTAGAATATATAAAGATCTCAAAAAAATTAGACACCTCCAAAATAAAAGATTCAGTCAAAAAAATGGGTAATTCAAATGAATAGACACTTCTCAGAAGCAGTACAAATGACCAATGAATACATGAAAAAATGTTCAATGTCACTGGGTAATGCAAAATGCATTAAATGAATTTTAAATGCAAATTAAAACAACACTGAGATTCCATCTTACTCCAGAAAAAACCTGCTATCAAAGAGAAATTAGTAATAACAAATGCTGGTGAGCTAGTGGGGGGAAAAAGGAACTCTTCTCTGTTGTTGATGGGAATGCAGATTACTACGACTGCTATGGAAATCAGTATGGAAATTCCTCAAAAAACTAAAACTAGAAATTTCATTCCACCCAGCTATTTACTTTCTAGGTATCTTCCTGACATCATACTACAATGATACGTGCACGTCCATGTTTATAGCTGCACAAATCACAATAGCTAAATTGTAGAACTGGCCTATATGTGCATCAAAAGATGAATAGATAAAAGACAACATGATATTTATACACAATGGAGCACTACCCTGCTATAAAAAGAATACACTTGAGTCATTCATAAAAAAATGGAAATCAGATACACAAGCTTAAAAATCATATGGTTTCTCTTACATGAGAAACCCAAAGTATAAATCAATCAAAGAGCAAAATAGAAGATAGTAGGAAATAGGGAGATAGGACTTTGGCAAATGAGAAAGGAGCTAAGAGATGTTACAAAGAGGGAGAGAAGCAGAGGAAGGGGATGTATAAAGAATTAAGATGTGTTATATACATTTCACAACTACCAGTAAAAATATTTTAATTTTGTACTGCAAACATGTACTTTAAAAACCCTACTGATTAAAAAAGCTATTAACAGTGGATGCTTTATTCTAGAAATGTTCTCTTTTTAATTTTGTTGGTCTTCTTCCCTTCACTATGCCATGAACCAGCGTTTGATATCTTGTGTGTAAAGTTCAGGGTGTATAGGGATATATTCCTCAACATCTCAATTTTTGACCACAGCTTTTTCATTTTACTGAAAAACTTAAAAGTTAATGAATGCATATTCTAGCTTATCAAAATTAGTATCCTACCAGATCAATGCCTCATAGTGCTAATGCCTGAGTTTGAGGTTGTGTTTGGATCCAATGCTGCTGTGGAGTGCTGCCCGGTTTCACAGTCGTAAGAGTAGAGAAGAGCAGTGGGAGGGCTGAGTTGTCACATGTAGTCTGATGGCACAGGCCTGCAGAAAACAAAGAGGAAAACAAACTATTTGTATCCTCTAGCATAGTGCATATTTTGCAAGTGGGTATATTGCTCAGATACTAAGCCAGATAATTCATTAACAAGAAATATGCTATGAAACATTCATTATTTTAATACTTGGATTGACTATGCATACACAGATTTTTAAAAATACCACAGTGTTAAACAATTTACAGAGTTACCACTTCAGAAAAATTATTCTAGGATCATTATTCACTGGAGAAGCTTTGATTTTATAAGAAAGCTATTTATCTTAAATTAAGAAATAAAATCATACCGAAGAGCACACACACATATTTATTCTTACATTAATGTTGCTGAATTCAAACTATAAAAGCTTATTATATATAGGACCTGCCCCAAGGTTGCATTCTTATGTATTAAACTCTGTATCAACCATATTGTTCCAGTAAAACAATATTATGTATCACACTAAATCAATGCTGTTAATTTGAATTTTAACGGTTTTGCAGTTTTGTTAGTATTTAACTTGCAAATTGCTTTTGCTTTTGAGTTGGACAGGAGCCTTGAGCATATATTTCTTTTACATTCAAATGAGACATGTACATATTTATGTTACATGATAATAAAACAGTATAAGAAAAACATGGTGGGGGATCACCATGAAAATGCCTTTTTATTTAAAGTGAGAACACACATTACTCAAGGTGTACAAACTGCATGAAACAGCTGTCATGCTAAGGAGTTCAGGACTGGGAATGAAGGTTTGATGTATAATTTGAGCAAAATAAGAGCAATGTAGTGAATTTTAAATAATACTACCCCAGTACTACATTTAATGAAACTCAGTTCATTAACTGATCTTACTAGTTTTTTGGAACACCAATATTATCCTATAAACTGTTGATGATAATATATGGTCATAGATTTTTCTACTTCATGACATTCAAAATCTACAAACCCCTGGTTGTTGTGTTTTCTGTAGCCCACTGCCCTCTATGGTCCTCAGTGTGGCACTGATCACTCACTGACTTCAGGTATTTATAACCCAGGACTAGTTACTAGGTTAATAGAAATAAAATAAAATAAACAGGAGAAAAGCATAATACATACGTATTATAACTATTTTTCTCCTTTCACATAAATGAAGTTACCTTATTCTACCTGCATTTTGATGTATAATCACAAAAGTATGAGTCTACTTTTTGGTGTCTAAATCACATTCAATTTCAAAATCTTTAAAGTGAAGCAGAAATTTAAGGTAGTTGTCACTATACCCAGTACAGAATCATGTGCTATCTTTTTTGCTCAGTGTTCTTACAGTTGTGTCACTTATATGTACTTCAAAAGGAGTGTTAGTGGTTTGGCTGTACTGGTAGTTTTTATAGAAATGGATCCTTTTTCACCTATATTTTACTAGGTTCAGATTGCATTTAAAATATAGAATTCTGATAACGAAAACAGTTTCACTAGGGAAGTTGGAAGCTGGTCAGCTGACTGTCAAGAAGCAAACACCTGGACTGGTGTGGGGATTAGGAGGTCAGTTTGAGGAGTAGGGTCCCTAAGTGGAAGTAAATCACCCTGTTTCACAGAAAGAATGAAGAGAGCCAGCTGATGAATATCAGTTTAAAAACAAACTTTTGCACAATTTAATGAATATAAAAAATTATAAAATGCGATGGAAAACTTCAGAAGGAAGTAACTAATTGCCTATATTCTAAATTTCTTCGACCCTTCATTATTCAACAGCAGAAACAAAAAAGGATTTTAAAAAATTAATTTCCAAGGGGGCAAAGGGAGGACAGGGACAAGGGGAAAAAAATGAGAACCAAGACCTGTCATGCAAAGGTCAAAGATCCCAATGATGAATGTAACTGTACTGTACCAGTAAACTAAAAAAAAAAAAAAAAAATTAATTTCCAAATCTTCACTAATTAAAATATTAGTAGTTTACTCCAAAATAACAAGTTAATCTGGGTTTATATTTTCCCCTTAAACTTGGAAGATAACATATGTTCTAGTGATTCTTGTTACGGATTATCAGTAATTATTATACCAATTGTTGTGTTTAATGACCTGACATTTTGTGTTGTAAAAAGTTAGCATTCCTAGCAAAACTTTTTTGGTTTTTGCTTTTGTTTTTTAAATCCTCACAGAAAGGGCAAATGCGGTGCACTGACAGCACAGGGCCTACTGCAATAGTTTCTCTGGCAGGCATTTTCAGCCACCGTTCTTCCATTTATCTTCCTTGGTGCTGATCAGATCTCCTAGTGTTCTCTCTTCTGGGCTGGCATCCTCACTACTGGCTCCCCTTACCAGAACTTCTAGAACACTGTGGCATTTAGTGATACCCTGCCTTGCACCAATCTCTGTGTGTGTCCCACCCCTATAAGACAGACCACAATCTTTTGACTTTCTCAGGGGACTGCATCTCCTATGTCTCCTTTCTATTCATGGCATCTCCAAATCACAATTACAAATAATTACTTGTTGAATTGAATTGAAACAACCAGCAGGCTGCCAAAAGAAGAGGGTAGGTGTGTATTTAATACATTGGCTAGAATTCCTGAGCAATTATTAAAGTTTGATTCTAAAGTAAGTACCTTGAAAGAGAGGCGTAGTAGGTATACACCTTTACCCCATTACATGCATGTAAACTGTTTCCATGCCATGGTTACTTATTCAGTCAAAATAACGCCTGACACAGAAAAATGTTAGCTATCATAAAAAAGTTGTTTGCTATCACTGTCATCATCATCTCCACCACCAACATAATAAGAACGCTATCATGAGTTGATTATTCATTTTCAGCCAACAGCAAGAATAGTTGAGCTTAGATTTGACATTCACAGCAAGAACAAAAAGTGTAAGTAAAATCTTTTGCACTGAGAAATTCTCTTTACAAATTCTTTCTCCATCCATTTTACTTGTTTGGTGAAATGAAAAGGATTTCCCTCAATAATTTTTCCTTTGTTTCTTCTTCTTTGTTTCAGAAGCAATTTTCTTCTAATAGGAGCACTGTGTAATGTAGCCTAATATATCTTCCATGTAAACTCTAGGCTTATTGGATTTTCTGAAAAGTCTATTCCTTTTTATCTTCTGTTACTTTGTAAACTGATCCTGCTTATTAAACCATTTCTAAGGTGGCCACCTTCGTAATATTTAGGGATTTTGACTCAGTGTTATTATGTACACTAATACAAGAGGAGGAAAACACACATTTTTCTTCCTGCAGTTCTTATTCTGGGTATTAGAAACTAGTATAAGAATTTTGTTTCCCATATCAGGCCAAAGTTATGAAGCATTTTTTCTTCTGATAGAAATGCCTCTGAGAAAAATATTGAGTTAGCCCTTGGAACTAGTAAGTAATTGATCTTGTAAGCAGGTGACTTATTTTAAAGGAAGAAACGGATACAGTAGCATAACCAGAGTGGATTTCCCCACTGTCAAGTCTCTTGTTACAGATCATAAATTCAAGTCTAAACTAACAATTCGAATGGAAATGTTCCTTCTGGTGAGACCCTGATGTTTAGGAAATCTCTCTCTCCCTCTCTCTCTCTTTCTCTCTCTCTTTTCCTTTTCTTTTTTCGCTTAAGGCATGTAGACTATATTTACCCAAATAAATACAAGCTGACTGAGAATGAGCTTCAGTGGACACAGCTCTTCGTTCAAAATAGCGAGCCAATGGGCAGGTTGAGAAAATGTAAGCGTTCCTATTGTAATCAGCAACAAGGAGCTCCACCTTAAATGGTTCCCAGCCACACCACTGTGATACTTCCAATCAGAGAGATGACAAGACACAGGAAGTGATACCTAAGCATTCTTGCCTCATCAAATTACATAACAATTTAGCATCAGGAGTAGGCCCCAGAAATTGAGGTACCAATACTGTTGTCAGAATGGAGAATTTTCCTGGTGATCTGCAAGTCTGACCTACCTGTCCTTTACAGTGCAACCAATACTACATATGTTTTCAATTTCAGACCAACTGTGGCTGAACCTTACTTACCAGTTTCCATTGCATATTCACTTTGATAAAAATTACCCTGAGGACTTTAGTCAGTGACACCATTGTCATACTGATTGTGAAAGAGTTCCATTTCTGACCTGGCTGGGAGACATCTGAAAAGCTGTGAATCAAGCAAATTTATTTTTTAAATGTTGCATAAAAATATAAAAGTCTGCAAATTAGTAGGGTGGCATGATAATTCAAAAGTCTCTTCTTGAAAGGTAAAAAAGAAAAACTATGCATTTGCAATTCTTTTTCTTTATATTCATACCATAACAATTCTTTTCAAGGAAGTATGAACATTTTTCTTTTTCAATTTTTTATTTTCATCATAAATTGACAATTTAATATTGCATACATTTATGGGGTACAATGTGATGCTGTGATTTATTATTATATAGAATAATTGAATAAAGTTAATTAACATATCTGTTAACTCAAATTCTTATTTTCTGTGGTAAGAACATTTGAAACTTAATATCAGTAATTTAAAAATGAGCAATACACTATTATTAACTATATTAACCATGCTATGCAATCAATCTCAAAAAGAAAGGTTTAGTCTGCCTGTCAAACCTAGATACTGAGATTTTGGTACCTTTGACCACGTTAATTACATTCTCCTAATCCTGAAAGTCCCGTAATAGCCTGGGAGAAGGCTTATATAAAGATATGTTTATAAATGCAAAAAGTAGCCAAAATAGGTAGTTCAATATAATATACAAAATAATTTTTATAGTAAGAAATTATTCGGGCGGGGGATTTAGCTCAGCGGTTTGGTCGCCTGCCTCGCAAGCGCAAGGACCCGAGTTTATTCCCCGTACCACAAAAACAAAGCAAAACAAAACAAAAAATAAATTATTCAACTTAAGTCATCATTTCTTTTATTGTATTTATTATATAGTTTGATATTTTCAAAGCCTTGATTTGGTTTAATTTTCATCCTATACTATGAAATAATTAAAGTGTTGGTGTTCCTTATAGTCTGTAGCAGGGATGAAAGTGATGGTAAAATTTCTTCATCCTAGATAAACATCTCATCTCTTCAAATAAGAACATCAAATCTCCACTTTAAAAGAATTGCCTGCTGGGGATTTAGCTCAGTGGTTCCGGCACCTGCCTTGTAAGCACAAGGACCTGAGTTCTATCCCCAGTGCCAAAAACAAAAACAAAAACACCCATATACAAGATGTGACCTGACGTAGGTTTAAATTTTATATATTTTCTAGGGAAGGAGGAAGGGAGGGAAAGAGGGAGAGAGGGAAAGAGGTAGGGAGAGGAGAGGAAACGAGAGGAGGGAGAGAGAGAGAGAGAGAGAGAGAGATGAATTTCATTTTAATATTTTCTATCTGTATGAACACACTGAATCTAAAAGCAGAGCATAAAAACCCAACTCAGCTGAAATATGAGCTACCATTTGTTATTATCAATGCTGTATGTCATCATTACCAGCCTCATATTTCAAGAGGACAGCTGGTACTTCCAAGGTCAGTGACAGTTTTATATAAAAACCTCGATTGAAAGGACTACAGAGATCAAAGATTGGGATAATCGTAGAGAAAGATTGCCATATGTTAGCTCATCCATTCCAAAGATTGGGTTTTTATTTTTGGTACCTATGCTGGAAGAATGGGAAGAGATTGAAAAAGAAGATTAAATAAAAGCTATCAAGAAGACACTATACTCCAAAGCAAGTAAATATTCTAAAGGAGAAGTTACTAAAGAAAGTGCACACAAATAACTGTTACTACTGAATGTCCACTGGTGAATTCATTTTGGAAAGACTACAAGCTAATAGGAACCAATTCAATTATACAGCAGGATTGTAATGATCTCACAAGCAGATGGAAATAAATCAAAATCATTTCAGTGGTACTAGGGAATAGATATGGTCGTCCTGTGCTAGGCTTTCAATAACATTAGTGCATTTACATTAATGAAAGAGGGACAGATACCAAGTTTTAAGCTTTTGGTTCAGAACTGAACAGGGATTAGAATTGTGATTATTTCTCAAATCTTCTTGCTTCAAAGGAAGAAAGAAGTCACTATGAGAAATCCAAATTCAGGGTAGTTAGACAGATGATGCCAGCATCTACTTTAGTGACTTTGATTTTTGTCTGTGAAAGAAGTAGAATGATAGAGATTTCATTGTACCGTGAAGAAGCACAGGATGTCCTAATTATTTCAATGTTCCATGCTGCTAACTTCACACATTCACCTTCATTTTGCAGTCATGATTTGAAGTTGTTTGGAGAATGCTGCAGGAGGAAAAGAAAAATAAACTAGAAAAATAGATACTATTGCAAGGACCCAGGAAACATGTAACAAGCATAGTTTACTTGTAAACCAGAGTTGCTCTACTGAACATTTTCTGATCTACTAATATCTGGTTCCTTCTTGCCTTAATCAATATTTACTCTTTGACCCTTCCATGCTGTTTTTTTTTCTTTCTTTCTTGTATTGGGGATCAAACTCAGGACATTGTGCTTGCAAGGCAGGCATGGTGCAGCTGAGCTAAATCCCTGGACCAACCTTTCCCTGCTTTTTAAAAAAAATCAAATTATATGTTTTGATTTTCTAGGATATTAGGGAAACCCATATATACAAAAGTCTGTTTTAATTATGAAAGCAGTATTTTATTCAAAATATTTGGAAAAAAAGTTAAAAATGGAGTAATTACTTTCAATCTCATGTCAGAGACTTACCAGCCTCAAACCCAGCTGAGCTTGCTCAGGATTGAGGCTACTTCATTAAGTAAATTTTGACTGTCTTTGTCCCAAGTTTTCACAGCAGATCTGTAAGTCTGAAGTTTTTCTGCAGAGAACTCCTCTGCTGTGTACTGAATGGACCTTCTCAAAATTTATACACTGAAACCTTGATTCGCAAGATGATGGTATTTGGAGGAGCCTTTGGTCATGAAGGTGGAGTACCCCAAAAGATCTTAAAGACTTTTTCTATATGATGACACTGAAAATATGGCTGTCTTTGGTACCAAATCTGTGATCTTAAATTTCTGGCCTCCAGAAATCTGAGAAATAAATTTCTATTGTTCATAAGCCTTCCAGTCTAAGGCATTTTGTCAATTTCTTTCTCGCTGCTTTTTATACTTTCATTTCAGATTATCTCAGCAAACTGTGAGCCCCTCCTCAGCGACTAACTGAATCCTAGCTCTTGCAAGTACACCATTCATTTCCAGACAGTATTTATTTTCTGAATATCTAGAACTTATCTGTAAGATAAGTTGCATGAACATTTGCTTTCTACAGTTCCCCATTCATCAGCTGTGCTGCTGGTGTCTGCACATGAAATCAGTTCTTACTCTTCTCCCTCCATTTATTCTCAGAAAGAAAGTCTAAGTTGAGGAATTTAAGATTGAATGTAGATTCAAAACAATGTTACCACTCCAAGACATCTTTGCTTTTTAAAAATAAAAGCATCCTTTTAAAGACCTTTTACACAACTATAAGTGAGAGAGAAAAATATGTATGTGTATATACACGGGAGCGTGGGAAGGGGAAGAGAAAGGCAGTTAAGATACCTGCCCAACTCTATGTAAATCTTAAAAATAGGCCAAACTTCCCCCACACTCAATGCTCACCTATCAACGAATGGCAATGTTAATGTGTGTCTGCTGATGAGGGACATAATGTGCCTTATTTTCCTCCTAGACACTGATCACCATTTAACACGCTACACATATTTTACCCCTATTTATCTACTTCACTATTATGTTTCTGTCTCTACTCAAATATATCCCTGTTGCCTAGACTACTGCCTACCACACAATAGATGCCTGATAAAAAATTTTGAACAAATTTATGTAGATACTGCACTTTTGCCTTTATCTTTGACAGTTATATGTTTTGGTTTTATTTTTCTAGCCTGCATTTATATTTTCATTATCCTTGTGGTGTTTGGTGTTTCATTATTTCTGTAATCTGTAGTGTTTGAAGTTTTAAATTTTAATATAGTTGCATTTAAATTATTTTTTGTGGTTGTTGCTATTTGTACATGGTTAAAGAAGTCCTTCCCTTCTTTAAATACATGAAGACAGTCTCCTGCTATTTCTTTAAAATGTTATCATTTTTAACTACATAAACTTTTAACTTTGTGCATGATGTGGAGGTTTAATTTTATTATTTTAGCCCATTGGTATAACCAGTTGTTTGAACATCATTTATTGAATATTCCACTGATTCCTGCTGATTCGCAGTACTACTTGGCATATACCAAGCATCTATAGATACTTGCAGCTGTTTTCAGACTCTATTTTGTTCCACCATCTCTCTTTCCCACCCTTGGAATTTGATACCAGCTTACAATTTTTCCACATAAGCATACATACAAGCACATTGAATCTATGAACTGATTTAGTAAGGCTTGAAATCTTGACAATATTAAATTTTTTTCACTTTATGATCACAAGAGTTTTTATTTAGATATTCTTTTATGTCCCTAATTTAAGTTTTATAATGCCTCTCCTTAGAAGTCTTTCACTAATTTTAGGGGAGTTTATTCCTGGATACTTAAAATTTATTAATTTTTTCTCTTAATATCAACCTTATGCATTTTTACATAAAAACTACAAATTAGTTTTGTGTGTTATACATACAAGAATCTTGCTATAGTCAACTCTTGATCCTTTTTTTTTTTTTTTTTGTACCTGGGATCAAACACGAGTCCTTGCATCTGCGAGGTAGGCTCCAGAACCACTGAGCTAAATCCCTGGCCCAATATTAACAATTTACAAGTAGATTATTTTTATGTTTTCTATGTACATACAAATATATTTTAAAATCATTTTTTGTGTTTTCTTTCCTTGTCTTTTTAATCATTTATGTGTTTCTTTTTTACTGTGATATTGAAGACTTTATTGCAATGCAGGCTAGAAGTAATGATAGCGAACATTTCTGCCTCATTCCTAATGTCAAAGAAAAGCTTTGAATGTGTTGCTATTAACTATGATGTGCATAGTAGGTATATTTTGTAGTTAAACTTCAATGAATATACAAAGTCTCTTTTACTTTTAGATTGCTGAGAACTGTTATCATTGCAAATGTTATTAATTGCTTATTTTTGGCTTCTCGGTATGATGGTATAATGAATTATATTTTTAGATATTGCTGTATTTGGTTTGCTGATATTTTGTTTAGGAGTTTTACTTACATGTTCATGAGTGAAACTGTTCTGCAATATTCTCTTCTCTTTTTATACTCTAGTATCAGGGTTCTACTGCCTCAGAAATGAGATAGGAAGTGTTCCATCTTTTCTGTTCTCTGTTAGAGTTCTCAGAAGACTGAATTATTTTCCTTGAATATTTGGATGAACTCACCAGTGAAATCATATAGCCCTCACTGATTTTATATTTGTGGAAAATTTTGACTATAGATTAAATCTATTTGATAGTTGTAGAACTATTCAATTTTATTGAGTCTGGGAATTCATCAATTTTGTTACAGTTTTGTTTACAATATCCAAGTTGACTATATTTTGGGTGTCTGAGAGATCTGTAATGATATTAAACTTTTCCCTCCTGATGTAGAGATTAACAATCTCTGTTAATTGCTTGAGGATTCTCACCATGGTTTTATAATCTATTACTTAAAAAAAATAATGTTGGCTTTGTGATCCTTACCTGTTGAATGTTTCTTCATAATATGGTAAATTTTTTTCTCAGCCTATTTCTTTTCATTGCTGTTATTTTGGTCCTTAAAAATATATTCAGATACTTAGCTCAGTTACTTTTCTGATATATGCATGTAAGAATATAAATTTCCCATTAAATACTACTTAGAATTACCCCACAATTGTTCATATTTATTATTGTCACTTATTTTAAAATATTTTGTAATTTTCATTATGATTTTCTCTTTATTTCAATTAATTTTATTGACACATTTAATGTATACAATATAATGACATTCATTGTTGGAAATTTGTACCTTTACATAATCAACCTTGGTTCTTTATTTTTTCCCCAATTCCCCTGCCCACCCTTCAAACCCCCTCTCTCCCTATTTACAAAGATGTTGTTTGCATTTTTTTATTTTCAAATATTAATTCCATTCTCTTCTTTCCTTTCCCCTTCCATTTCCCATTCCTCTTTGTACCTTTTCTTCCTATTTCACATTATCTATTATACTTTTTTTTTTTTTTTTTTTTTTTTTTTTTTGGTGCTGGGGTTCGAACTCAGGCCCTAGTGCTTTTGAGGCAGGCGTTGGGATCATTGAGCTAAAACCCCAGCCCTCTATTATACGTTTTAGTCCTTATTTACACTTTCAGTTTCTCATGCCAGAGAAACTATTCAGTATTTACACATTATGTGCCATATTTATATCACTTGAGAGTATCACCTCAATTTGCATCCATTCAGCTATAAGTGTCTCTAATTTTTCATTTTTTATGGCTGAGTATTATTTTATTTTATTTTTTAAAAAACACATTTTCTTTATCCTGTCTCCTATTGATGGGAAATTGTGCAGCTTCAAAGTTTTAGCTATTAAAAATTGTGCTGCTATGAACATGGGTGCACAAATATAGCTGTGGTATGATTCTCTTAATTCTTTTGGGAAGATACCCAGCAGGGGAATAGCTAAGTCAAATGGAACTTCCAATCCTAGTTCTTTGAGATATCTCCGTACTGCTTTCCACAGTGGTTGCACTGGTCTACACTCCCACCAGCAATGGAACAGTGTTCCTCTTTCCCCATATCCAAACTAACAATTATTATTGGTTGATTTCGTGATAGCAGCCATTCTTTCTGGGGTGATATGGAATCTCAGTGTTGTTTTCATTTGTATTTCTTGAATAACCAGTGACATTGAACATTTTTTCATATGCATATTTGCCATTTCTACTTCTTTGTCTGGAAAATGTCTGTTCATTTCAGATGCCCATTTTTGGAATGGGTCTTTAAATTTGGGAGATCTGATTTTTAAAAAATTCTTTATATATTCTAGATAGTAGAACTTTGTCTGAGAAACAGTTGGTGAAAATATTTTCCCACATTGTGGGACATCTTTTCACATTGTTGGTCATTTCTCTTGCTGGGCAGAAGCTTTTTAATAAGAATGCATCCCACTTGTTGATTGTTTGTGCTGGCTCATGGGCAACTGAGCTTTTGTTCATAAAGTCTTTTCCTACACCAATGTCTTTAAGAGTTCTACCTAACATCTCTTCCAGCCAGTTTAGTATTTCTGTTTTAATACTTAGATCTTTAATCCATTTTGATTTTAGTTTATTGTATGGTGACTAGTTT